TTATAGGCATGGGGCTGATTTGTTGAGCGTGCGGTACTGCACATATAAAAACAACTGAGCTTCCATGAGCCGTTCTACTTACCTTCACACGTGAGAGTGGCATCCGCACTCCTATGGCGAGTGAACTGTTCGCAAATGTCCCAAACAGCGATGCCCCTCGACTTCAATACATCACAACGTGATGAGTAGTCCAACGAGGCGAATCGATGGTCACCGATAACGTAGCCAAGGACCGCCCAGAAGTGATTGTGAGGGTTGGCGTAGTACTCTCCCATGGAGAGGGAAATCTGACTGGGGGCTGAACCAAGGATGAGTACGCGTGGTTCGGGGCCTAGAATCGGGGGAAGACCTGAACGCAGTTATCATCTCTCGAGAGTAGCTGATGCCTACCTCGACGCCTTTCGAAAGTGATGCCCTTGGCGATGCCGTTACGTACAGATGTTGGCCTCTTACTGCGACCGCTACTACTGGACGGTGATGATCTCTGGGTGCGAGTTGGTGTGAGAGTGGTATCTGATAGCACAACGGGATGGGGTATATAGCAGCGGCCTTAAGATACCAACTTGGGCACACTTCAGGCTGCTGCTGATGGTAAGCATAGGCGTGCAGACTGGCCAAGAGCTCTTCCTCAGTAGACCGATTGGTTTGGCCTATCCCAGATGTGCTGCTCATGTATCAAACGAGGAAACAATATTCTCAATAATAGGGCAGCATTAGAATCGAATTCTCCCATAGACCTTGGGGGGCACCAGAAAGAATAGCAATGGGTTCGCCGTAGTATCCGATTTTTACCAATGGTATGTAACGCAAGAGCCGTTTAACGCCGAAGACACATTTGGGATATATCAAACTCATCCTCCTCCTCCTTGAACTAGTGATCAACTTTCATCGAAAGTTCAGGCGTCTAACGTATCGCGTATGTTCTCTCTACAGTGACTTATCGACTAAAAACTCTATCCAATGGTGACGGCTTTTTTGACTGTCGAAGTTGATAGTACAGAGCTGCCAGTCTTCCTGTATACCACTCCCCCCTCAACTAACTTGTAACTCAACGACTATGAACTGTGGTAAGATACTGGTACGTTGTTATCCGCCTAGTCGTAGTACTCAGAACTCAGGTTTGGGCTGCTGCGTCAAGAGCACACCAAAGCGCTTCTTGATGGTCACACGCTCGGCCGAGTACCTACACATGAGAACTGACTGAGAGGAAAACTCGAAGAGGAGATGCTTACTTATCATCAGGACTGAACCTCGCCGGATGAGCACTGAAGGTAGGCTGCTCGCTATCGGAACCTGATCACTGAAATCTTCGAGAGGTGAGATATGGGAGGATGGCCATACCATCGTTGGCGGGCACAGACTGCTTTAGGGTGTACACACGCTTGCCGTCATTATCAAGGTAGAATCGCAGCAGCATGGCGAGGAGGACAAGGCTCGGGAATAACAACAACTACGGTAGGAGGAGGCGTGTGGGAAACGAAGGTGCGGTCGAAGTGGTCATCAAAAAGTGATGTAATCGAGAACCCCCCGGCCAAAAATGGCCTTGGCCAAACTCCTTGTGAGGTCATCACAAGAGCTACTGTAAGAAGATGCGAGGTGCGGCAAGTCAATACCATAGAGGGGATGTACTATCATAGGGCCACCCTGGAGGGCTCTGTTGATGGCAAGATGGGGGTAGTCGAGGAGGGTCTACTCTGCCTTCCATACCACTACTTAAATTAACAAGGAGCCCCCCTCCCCCTAGCACTAGTAGAGTAGACAGCAGCCCGGTGATCTAGTCACAATAGGACATGCCCGAAGCCACAGACTCCAATACCTATAGAAGGATAAGACGACACCACCATGATAGTGACTTGTTAGTCAAGGTGCACAAAAGGCCAAATAATGAGGGCCGAGTGAGAGGACTGCTTACAAGAAATGTTTAAACTGTATCAGGGTCATCGATTCAACACCGTAAGCGCTTCTTTGGACACATCAGCTTTCTTGTCCAAAGTTAAATGCTTGACAAGGTGTCCATTACTCAACCCATGGGCTATGTTTCGACAACTTGAAACGTAGTGGCGCTCGCCCGAAAATGTACAAATTGGACAAGAAATGTCGAAAGCAACACCATGGGTGATCTTTGGACAGGTTTTTTGGACAACAAATACGTGTCGACATGTCCAGAAGGACATCCAGCCTCTTTTGGACAACATCTTGTCCAAGTGATGTCCAAAGGTGGATTTGTCTACATTTCCCTCGAAAACTTGTCCAAAGCTTGTCGTTGGCACTTTTGGACAGTTGATGATGAGTTGATAACGCTATCTTGCAATCTCGAAGCTTTCACACTTAGCGATATTAGCATAGATGACCAATGGCACCCAATTACGTTTGGATCACATTGATTGCAAAGCTTCAACAGTTTATCTTCAAACGCATATGTTGCATATGTCTTTCGGTCCCGTACCTTGCAATTGTAAGCAAATTGTTTGATACAACACTACATATAAAGGCACGCACGTTTGGGCGAACATGTTTACTCATCACACACGCATGTAAATCAGATTTACTAGATCTCATTGAACATTTAGGAGTCATAACCTTTCGAGGCAACTGGGGACGGATTTAACGTGCGAATGTTTAACGGCTATACGTCATTCAATATTTCTCATTAGATTCAGTGGAATGATCGTTTGGAGAAGTCTGGCGGTTAGGGATAGTTTCTTCGTGGCACTTCTCCTGATTCGGAAGTCTCGAGACCTCT